CACGCTGCCGGTACGGGGTTTTGGGGGCCCCTTCCTGCCCGCCCCCTGCCAGCCCCGCGCTGCAGTGTGAACGCGGTGACCCGCCTCTGAGAAAGGTCCCTATTTTTAGCGGGGGAATGAAGAGCTTCCTCATTCCTGACCAAAATAGGTCCCTGCGGGGACCAGCCAGGGAGGGGGCTTTTGGCCAGGGGCCGAACTCCTTAATGGGCCCTGCTGCCGGAGCGGGCTGGGGACGGCTGCTCTGCCCGGCCGTGGGGTGCCAGCTTCTGGCTCCCCTGCCTCCCCCCAAGCCGCGCTGCATGGAGCCCCCAGGATTATTATGGCCATGCCCATCCAGGATGAACAAACCCAGCAGGAGCTGGGGCAGGCTGGCAGCAGCCGTGGGGCCAGCGGGTGTGCCCCTGTGGAGGGCCAGTGCCACCCCCAAAGGGGGCTGCCCACAACCCCACAGCTCCGCACCTGGGGAGTGGGAACCATGGAGGGACCCGGGGCCAAGGGCATGTCACTGCAACCTGCCTGGCTGTGTGGGACTGCGGGGGATGGCAGCAGTGCCAAGGGCCAGGTCTGTTTGGGTTAATGATGGTCTTTTCTGTAAGCAGAGCTGCCCAGGGGCAAACAATGCCGCAGAGCAGATCAATGGCCGGCGCTGTCTATTCTGGGAGGAGGAAAATGACTTTTCCTGAGATGAGGCCAGCGGAGGTGTATGGGGGCTGGGAGCATCCTCTGGTCCCTATCACAGTGTGGGGGAGCACAGCTAACATAGGCAACCACAGACATAGCACTTGGCACAGCAGTTTCTGAGCTCTGCTTTCTCTGAGATGCTCTTAGTCTTCTGGACCCTTTGTCTGGGATCATTAGGGGATTGCTGGGAACCCTCTGAGGAACACAGGGGTGCCTGCTGCTGCCTGGGGAAAATGAGGAAGAGGATAAGAGATGGAGAGCCAAAGGACACCTTGACTTCTGGCAAGATTCTAGTAAGCTTCAGCTGCTTCTGATGAGCTCTACCAGCTGCCCCTGGGGAAGGAGTGCTTGAAGCCCCTGTTCCAGCTGAACCCAGGTTAGGGAGGGGCCAGTATCCCTTAGTCAGTGCAAGGGAGAAGCCTATATAAGGGCCAGGCTCAGCACACAGGTATTGTAGTGTAGCTGAGAGAGGCAAGAGTTTGTGCAGAAAGGTGGGTTGTGGGGTTTTTTTGGTTTGGGTTTTTTTGTTTGTTGTGGGTTTGGGTGTTGTTGTTTTTTTTTTAAAAGTGCCAGCACCTCTCATCAGAGCAGCACACGCGTCCTTGGCACACCGAGGTCACAATCCCTAGCAGCCATTGGAGCAACTCTTCCTGCAATGCTGGAGGACACAGCCTGGCTAGCCCTGAGCTGCAGAGGGTGCCTGGGGCCTCTTGCTGGGGCTGGTGCATCTGGCTGGCAGCCTGCAAGAGGTGTGTGGTTGTGCACGTCTTGGAGCTGTGCTGCCAAGCTGGAGGAGCTGCTGGAGGAGGTCAGCAGGCTGCGTGGCACCAGAAAGGGCATGAAAGAGATCGACTGGATCATCTCTGAGACCCTGCAACTACAAGAGCCCAAACATTCAACTATGGTGGTAAAGTGTGCGCCTGCCAGGTTTGGAAGTGGAAATGCCCTCGATGGTGAAGGTTGTCCTGGTGACTCCTGGCTCTTCCACCCGAAAGCTTGCGGTTATGGCATAGGTTCAGCGCCCTTATTGCTGATGAGGTGCAGGCAGCACCTTCCAGTCATCTTTGAGTGACCTCTGTGAGCAGGTAAGGACAACTTTACACTGGGAATGGCAGGGAAGGGGACAATCCTCACTCAGGTGGGGATGTGGTGGATGGGGTGGGCAAGCGAAGGGCTCAGGGGGTGTGAACAGCAGGGACTCTGTTACCAACAATAACAGGATTGAAGTGGGGTCCCTTCAGCATAGGGGCACAGGCAAGCTCCCATGGCCTTGCTGGGAAGTGGGCACGTGTGGGGGGCCACTAATGCAGGCAGGATGGGGGGCAGATGGGAGGAACTAGCAGGATGTGAGCACTTATAGGGCTGTAGTGTCTTTGGGATGATGGCTGATGTGGCAGCTGAGGGCTGATGGGTCAGGATTAGCAGGCAGCAGTGTCAGCGTTTGCTATGTGCAGCCTGATCAGAGTGCAGCCTGCCTTCTTCAGGTATCTGGAATAAGCCCCGTGTCAGCAGGCCCTGGTCCTTATGGGGAGCTGGAATGCCCCTGGTATCTGCTGGAGGGACAGCCCAGTGGGGCACAAGCTTCTGAAGCGTGTTGACAACACCTTGCTGACACAGGTGATTGAGGAGAGGTGCTCAGCTGGGCCTCACAGACAAGGAAGGACTGGCCAGGGGAAGCTCAGGATCCTGAGAAAAGAAGAAAAGACAAAAGCAGGATCACAACCCTGGATTTCAGAAGTGCAGACACTGGCCTCTTCAGGGATTTGCTTGAGAGAATCCCATGTCCTGGAGAGAAGAGGTGTCCAAGAGGACCAAGGATCAGCTCCTCCCTCTGCTCAGCACCAATCAGGAACAGCTGCAGTGCTAGGTCCAGTGGTGGGCCCCCCAGCATGGACGGTACTGGAGAGAGTCCAGCAAAGGGCTGTCCATCTTCCACTGTGAGGATGATCAAACCCTGGCACAGGCTCCTCGGAAAGGTAGGAGAGTCTCCATCTGTGGAGATATTCAGAACCCGACTGGCCATGGTCCTGTGCAACCTGCTCTAGCTGCCCCTGCCTGAGCGGGGGGGCTGGGCTGGATGATCTTGAGGTCTCTGCCAGCCTCAGCCACCCTGTGTCCCCAAGGCCTTGGCACTGTAGCTCTGAGGTCCTGGGATTGCTGCTGTGTTCAGGGAGCTGGTATGGCTCCCTGTGCCGAGCTGCTAATGAGGGAGCAAAGCTGGTGCCCAGGAGCAGCCCAAAGGCCCCCTACGGTTTGGCTGCTGATCATCACCTGCTCCCTCCCTGTTGGCCTGGTATCATTAGCTGCTCATGCTGCTGCGCATCTGCAGCGTCTGTCGTGCCAGCTCCCTGCTGTCAGGCAGACGATGGCTGTTGTCTCCAGCTCTGGGAATAGCAGCTCATTATGGCTGGGGTGTTGCAGCTGGGCTGACAAAGGGATCCCGGGGATTTTTCCCAGGGCCTGGGGGGCCCTGGTTTCAGCAAGCTGTCAGCCCCCACCACCCCAGTGCTCCTAAACTGGAGTAACCTAGCAGCATCATGCTCCTCCCTGCTTGGGGAGGGAGAAGGGTCTTGGTATTGTGATGGGCTGAGACCAGCCCACTCGGCTCACATGTCAGGCTCCCAAGCAGGCTCTGGTGCAGGGAGTACCCCCGGGGTTCCAGATCTCATGCCCTGGACTGGTCTGTGACCATTGCTGCTGCTAGACACCCTTCCCAGGCAGTGCAACCCTGCACCCAAAGTCACAGCACCAAAGCAGGCAGGTCTGGCATGGCTGACCATCAGTCTTGGGGACCACATGTGCTGCCCATCAGGTGGGAGGTGGTTGCATTTTCCTCCTGTAATTGCTTGCTGTGCAGGATGGCTCCCAGGGGAAGGCTGTGTCCTGTACATCCTGTCCTTGCTTGGCTGCAGTGGGTTGAGGTGGCTAAATACCTTCTCTGTCACCTGCTGGGGCTGGCTGGGTGAGCTGGGAGCGCCCTGCCCATGGAGGGGATGGCAGACATTCCCCTGCTGGTCCCATTGTCCTGCCCCAGAGCAGTTCTACAGCCTTCTTGGGTGCCCAGCGTGCCTTTGCTCACACACCCTGGGAGCAAGAGAGGAAAGCTCAGCAGTGCCCCAGTTTCCCCAGTTGTCACCCATCTGCAGCAGGGCTCAGGTGGGCTGCCAACGTGGCCCTCCTTCCCGTGCCTGCACTGTGCCTGGCAGAGCTGCGCTCCTGCAGCAGATGTCTGTCTTTCTGGCCTCCCAGCAGCTCCCCTCTCCCTGCTGTGGCTTTTGGCCAAGGTGTGAGAGGATCCTGGTTAAAATTAGC